GAATATACCATGGGTTCCACTGTGGAAGATGTCATGTATTCCATTGTGGAATATATCATGTAGCACACTGTGGAAGATATCATGTATCCCACTGTGGGAGAAATCATATATCCAACTGTGGAAGATACCATGTATTTCACTGTGGAAGATATCATGTATTTCACTGTGGAAGATATCACGAATGCCACTGTGGAATATATCATGTATCCCACTGTGGAAGATATCATGTATCCCACTGTGGAAGATATCATGTATCCCACTCTGGAATAAATCATGTATTCCACTGTGGAAGATATCACGTATGGCACTGTGGAATATATCATGTATCCAACTGTGGAAGATACCATATCTCGCACTGTGGAAGATACCATGTACCACACTGTGAAAGATGCCACTGTGAAAGACATCATGTATTCCACTGTGGAAGATATCATGTATCACACTGTGGAAGATATCATGTATCACACTGTGGAATATAACATGTATCCCACTTCGGAAGACACCTTGTATCCCACTGTGGAAGATACCATGGATTCCACTGTGGAAGATATCATGTATCCCACTGTGGAAGATATCATGTATCCCACTGTGGAATATACCATGGATTACATTGTGGAATATACCATGGATCCCACTGTGGAAGATATCATGTATCCCACTGTGGAAGATATCATGTATCCCACTGTGGAAGATATCATGTATCCCACTTCGGAAGACACCATGTATTCCACTGTGGAAGATACCATGGATTCCACTGCGGAAGATATCATGTATCCCACTGTGGAAGATATCATGGATTCCACTGTGAAAGATACCATGGATTCCACTGTGGAATATATTATGTATCCCATTGTGGAAGATATCACGTATGCCACTGTGAAATATATCATGTATCCCGCTGTGGAAGATATCATATATCCCACTGTGGAAGATACCATGTACCACACTGTGGAAGATGCCACTGTGGAAGATATCATGTATTCCACTGTGGAAGATATCATGTATTCCACTGTGGAAGATATCATGTATTCCACTGTGGGAGAAATCATATATCCAACTGTGGAATATATCATGTATCCCACTGTGGAAAATACCATGGATTCCACTGTGGAAGATGTCATGTATTCCACTGTGGAAGATAACATGTATTCCACTGAGGAAGATATCATGTATCCCACTGTGGAAGATATCGTGTATCCCACTGAGGAAGATATCGTGTATCCCACTGTGAAAGATATCCTGTATCCCACTGTGGAATATATCATGCATCCCACTGTGGAAGATATCATGTATCCCACTGTGGAAGATATCATGTATTCCACTGTGGAAGATATCATGTATCCCACTGTGGAAGATATCATGTATCCCACTGTGGAAGATATCATGTATCCCACTGTGGAAGATATCATGTATCCCACTGTGGAAGATACCATGTATCCCACTGTGGAAGATACCATGTATCCCACTGTGGAAGATACCATGGATCCCACTGTGGAAGATATCATGTATCCCACTGTGGAATATAACATGTATCCCACTTTGGAAGACACCTTGTATCCCGCTGTGGAAGATACCATAGATTCCACTGTGGAAGATACCATGGATTCCACTGTGAAAGATACCATGTATCCCACTGTGGAAGATACCATGGATCCCACTGTGGAAGATATCATGTATCCCACTGTGGAATATATTATGCATCCCATTGTGGAAGATATCACGTATGCCACTGTGAAATATATCACGTATCCCACTGTGGAAGATATCATGTATCCCACTGTGGAAGATATCATGTATCTCACTTCGGAAGACACCATGTATTCCACTGTGGAAGATACCATAGATTCCACTGTGGAAGATACCATGGATTCGACTGTGAAAAGTACCATGGATTCCACTGTGGAATATATTTTGTATCCCATTGTGGAAGATATCACGTATGCCACTGTGAAATATATCATGTATCCCACTGTGTATGATATCATGTATCCCACTGTGGAAGATACCATGTACCACACTGTGGAAGATGCCACTGTGGAAGATATCATGTATTCCACTGTGGAAGATATCATGTATTCCACTGTGGAAGATATCATGTATCCCGCTGTGGAAGATATCATGTATCCCACTGTGGAAGATATCATGTATCCCACTGCGGAAGACACCATGTATCCCACTGTGGAATATACCATGGATTCCATTGTGGAATATACCATGGATCCCACTGTGGAAGATATCGTGTATCCCACTGTGGAAGAGATCATTATCCCACTGTGGAAGATAGCATGTATCCCACTGTGGAAAATACCATGGATTCCACTGTGGAAGATATCATGTATTCCACTGTGGAAGATACCATGGATTCCACTGAGGAAGATATCATGTATCCCACGGTGAAGATATCGTGTATCCCACTGAGGAAGATTATGCATCCCACTGTGGAAGATATCATGTATCCCACTTTGGAAGGTATCATGTATCCCACTGTGGAAGATACCATGTACCACACTGTGGAAGATGCCACTGTGGAAGATATCATGTATTCCACTGTGGAAGATATCATGTATTCCACTGTGGAATATATCATGTATCCCACTGTGGAATATATCATCTATCCCACTGTGGAATATATCATGTATCCCACTGGGGAATGTATCATGTATCCCACTGTGGAAGATATTATATATCCAACTGAGATAGATTATATATCATCCTATTGAAGATACATTCCACTGTGAAATAAATTATATATCCCGTTGTGTGAGGTCAAATTGCATCTTCAAATCATTGTCGTTAATCCAAACTTTGTAATGTGTATCAAATAATTCACTCTCAGCTACAGTGATAGTTCTCCCAACCACCAACTTTACCTGTGAATAAACAACATTGCTTATGGGAAGAAAATGTATTTTGTTTCTATACAAACATTGTTTCTACGGCCTGATATAAATCGTATTCATGAGTTCCATCAAGCTAATTTTAATTAGTATGTACACCCTCATATACAAAATGCACACCTCGATTTAAGTCCAATGTGCTTTGTCAAAATAAGCGTACTGTTGTGAATGATTTCAAAATATTCAACACATGTATGTAAATCGAATTAGATTCGGTAGCTTCATTTCATAACCTTATTGAGTTGTATTCAGTTGATACGAAATGTCACCTTAAAGATTTGAAATGAACATGAAATATAATATATATATATATATATATATGATTTCTTGTAATATGAGATAAGGGTCTCGTGGTGTGGTTGTACCTTTTCTCACAAATGGCGAGTCCTGTGCCGGGTTGACGTTCAACGATGTGGGTGGATGAGAAATAAATGCATCTGCCTTTATACAGTTACGTTTGGAAGAGTTTTGTCATAAACAGTTTGATCAGCACAACTTGAAAATACAAAGAATGTATTTTGCTCAACCAACAACACCAATATCGTATTAACTCGTGCTATCCGTCTAATGTGATGCGATGTAGTGTAAAACCAAAATAAAACGTGTAAATTTTGAATTTACCTGTTTCATATCTTCATAAAACATGAAAAGGACATTCATATCGTGTCTTCGACTCCACCAGTGTAGAAAATGGTCTTTCCACAGTGAACCATCGTCTAGAACAATATACTATGAGATTATTACGAGAATAATGGAAAGTATGCACGAAGACAGTACGGCGGAAGTTTCGATCGGCGCGCAGCGGAGGTAAATGCTACCGCGTACTGTCTAAGTGCATACTTTTCAGTATCCTTATTATTATACATCTTTCCTTCCCAGGGATACATCATGGAAATGCCGAAAGCCAAAACGTTTAGAACAGATTTAGCGAAATTCTTTGTGTGGGGTCCGGTCAAACCCGGGGGCAGCCGTGTTTGTTTGTATTATTAGAGGACGATTACGCAATCGCTCCGTATTTGGAATTTGCGTTTCCCAATATGGTAGAATGTGCAATACGCAAAATTACGGCATGTTGTAACTTACGGAATTACGTTGGCAAATGTATAATTATATGTGTTATTAACAATGTCTAAACAAGTCCTAAATGTGCGGTAAATCCTTTAAGATTCACATGTGATACCATAACGGTTTGTTTTTCCCCACAGTCAGTAATGATTATACCAAGTCTAACTATTTATACTATATGTGTAAGGACAGATCACTTCGCTAAATTGTTTCTTTATATTTTATTTTGCTATTTATTAATCAAAGTAGTCCGTAGAACGTCTCAACGTATCATCTGTATATTTTCAATATATTAATTTCTTGTGACAATCTTATTTTCCCATTGTATCATAAATGCCTTATTTGAGGGGTGCTGTTTTCAAAAAACTTTATTACAAAACATGATTAAATCATCATGGCATATAACTAGTCCTGTAAAACATGGACAGATATATTGATGAATACGCTACATCTAAGTATACTTACAAATCACACATTGTGCATCATTTTTAGCACTGATAAAATCAGGTAAAAAGGCGCTAAAATTCTCGTAACCTGGTGAACTGCGTGAGGAGGTCACTGCTTGGACAAAATGAAAACAGGAAACAGCCACATCCTTTGGATTACGACTGACATAGATGACCTGCAGAATGATAATATGATTCATTAAAAGCTGATCCAACAATAATGTGTTATCAAATTCACTAAACAACTGAATGGCGTCGATAATAGGGGATTATGTTTTATATCAATCATAGCTAAATGAAACACAGATTGAAGGTGAGGGTAGAATATCGACATGACTAACATGGCATATAGTGTGGGGCAGATGCGATAATTCACATTATTGAACTCACTGTTCAACACGAGTGTAGGTACGGAAACTATACCTTTAATGATAAAGTGAGTAGCTACAGCGTGCAGTACAGTAAAATATGTCATTTGAATGAATTTATATTTGTCGATTGAATATTGAATGCTTTCCATTCACAAAGTAGGCAATTACAGGCATTCGTGTATGTATGAATGGTTAATATCGTCGATTGTCAATTTAGAAACCCTTGCATGCTTCTAGTTTTAAATATTAAAGCATTAATGAAACGTTTGAATAATTTATTATGTACAATAAATAATAATAATACAAATTTTCTTAACCGATGTGCACTGCGTTAAACACAAATCACAATACAATACAAATCACATTATGAGAACAATTAACAGTATTATAAAAAAAATAACAAGCTTTCAAAACACTTTAAAAATAACATTACCATTAAAATATGTTGGACAAATGAGTTTTCAGACTTCACTTAAAAACATTGATATTGATTGACTGGCAAATGTAGAGTGGAAGTTCATTCCATAAAAGGGGTCATAATTGCTAAAAGAATGCCAACCATATGTTTTTGTGGTACATTTTGAATCTTGTCTTTTCAATAACAAAAGACCAGTGTTAGATGACCTGAGGCCACCAGGACCCGGTTCAAAACGGTCAACCAAGTTAAATAAATAAATTGGAATGTTTAAAATGTTATAGACTGTCAATAGTACTTTGAATTTTATTTTTCACGAATGCGTAGACAATACAAATCATAAAGTGTAGATGTAATGTGGTCAAATTTTTGTTACAATTGACGAGTCTGGCTGCTGCATTTTGAACAGATAGGAGTTTGTCTTACTAAAATTAAGGACATTCATACAATATGATATTACAGTAGTCCAATCTCGACGTCACAATTGAATGGACTAACATCATCGTAGCCGCTTCTTCCAATAAAGTCCGAATTTTACTAATGCGGTAAAATGCAAAGTAAGCTGACTTACAAATCTGATTAATATGGTGTCCCAAATCACCATCAGCTTTGAAATGGACTCTAGGATTACCGACTGAGTTAGAAAGATTCATGCCAGACTCACCGATTCTCAATGAGTTCTTTTTAAAACATGATGACAAATGAATAATTTCCGTCTTGCCAGGGTTGAGAATCAACATGTTTGATTTCAGCCAGGCACGAATATCTTCAATACACATCTCGGTGCGATTAATCGAATCAGATGGCTTATTATAAGTTACATATAGCTGAGAATCTTCAGAATATGGCATAACGAGTGCCATAACGAGCAAAAGGTCGCAGTCCCCTCAAACAAGCTAATTAGGCGACTACCTAGAAATTTCCAAAATATTATTTACGTAACATGTAATTTTTGTAATTTACGCAATTCACCGTGTAATGGGCGTTCTTACACAGCATGTAATGTACTATTATAACAACACATATAGTGTCTACATGTCTAATTTACATATCTGACAAATGTTTATTTTTTACGAGACGATAAATTCATCTTATTAAAATATAATATAAATAAAATATAATAAAAATAAAATATAATACAAATAAAATATATTTTTCTCAAATAGTTAATACATTAACAAGAATTCTAATTAGGTGAATTACAAACAATTTAAAACAATTCAATAAAATATTGTATAGCATATGGTTCTGGCAAATGTTCTGCATTGATGTCAATTATCGTCAATTATCGTCTTAGGAGTCCAATTTGTTACATTTATGTGGTACCAGTTTAAAATTAAAACTTAAGTATTTGTTTCAGTCGTCACTATTCTACATTAATGTATGCAAGTATAATTGGAATATTTCGGTAGTGAAGAATTCTGCATTTACATGTGGAAATGAGATTCACATCTTGAATTTTATGATTATATTAATGCAGGTAGTACGTGGAGAGTGCAGCCAATGAGTGTGTGAGGACAGGTGTCAAAGGTTAAATACATTTAATGTAAATATGCATTATAATGAACTGCTGCTTATCTATATGCCTTTAATTGCTGGGGTGAAATGTCATATAATAATATACAATTACAGCCGGACGCTGGACGATTATACAAAACCAGTTAGCCAAGCACAACATTTAAAAAAATGATTTGTCCGTGTCATCATCACTGTGATGAAAGTCCTAACAGTTAAGTCGATTCAACTGCCCTGGTATTGGCACTAACAAATCTGGTCCATTTTACTATGACAGTTTCAGTCTACTTTTTAGAAAGCCGCTAGTTTTCGATAAATTTCACCAACCTAAACTTGCATATTAGTGCTTCCTATTAAATAAAAAAGATATTTGCATTCGTTGGTGCGTACATGTCCCTGTGATTTAATGCCGATGTAATTCCTAATTAATTCGATTTTATTGCTGTATCAATACAAACGGTGGCTAAATTAAACAGTTCGTTCAATTAAAAGTTTCTAGAAGTTATTTGTAACCCAATAATATTTAAGCAAGTGTAATTCTGCTGTCGTGTTCTATTGCTACTAGGCCAATGTAGACCTGGACCATGAGTGGGTAAGTAATTGTATTAGTAAGTTACTACAGACTTTAAAAGCGCACTGCTTGTTGTGTGTGTGTGAGAGAACGTGGATGGATTGATAATTTTACCTTGCATTTCTTTTCATCAAGTTGATGAGGTAAATATTTTGCCTCTAAATGTGAAACTATAATTCTTGGTGACACCATTTTATTTTAAGTCAAAATCTTCATTTACACCTAATTCAGCGAGGTCTTGTTTCAGAAGCGGGTCACTGGTCAGAGCAAAGTTTATGTAAGGCATTCTGACATCGGAGGCTATGTCTTTAATGGCTTCTATGTCACCACCGTTTAACACCAATGGAACGAGTTCTTTCATCCATGTTGTCCCTATTTCATAGAAGCTGTAATTAATGTTATATGACCGTACAAATTCCGCCCTCTAGCGAAAAAGTTTGTCTGTGACCTAGATGAAAGAAAGACCAATCACAGCGTTGATATTGTTTTGAAATTCAATAAATAAGATTTACCATATCCTAAATGACAAATAACTTCTCAACTAAATACTGTTGCTCTCACCCATCTACGCCGTTGATCTCAAAAGCATATACTCGAAACAAAAACATTTGGATGTTGAAGAACATACACAATTAAAATTATATAAATATCCATGCTCGCTATTAAAACAAATCAAAACAAATTCATTTAAATTAGAATATGTATAGTAATATATTGGAATATCATTCGCATTACAAAAGAAAATTAAATTGTCTTCAATGATGCTATGTTCGCAAACACATATAAAGTTATGGTTTGTTATTTCTGCTACAACAGCCCCGAAGAACACACACAATCATTATTTTGAAAATGCTGAGATATGCTAAAGCAAGTCGAGACGTAAATATTAAAGACACGTTCAAAACATGATTTCATTGAAACTAAAGAAATAACTCTAATATCAGAGTGTGTTTGAACACATCCGTATTTTATTGTGTGCACAAGTAATTCTGTATTATAGTGATGCTCAGGTATTACGTGTCATTTCATTTAATAAAGATGGTTTGTATTTTCAATTATCCACTGATATTGTGATGTTATAGAATGCTGTCACTTCATAATAGTAGTGTGCTTGTGATGGTTTTCTAGCAACGGCCAATAACTATAGGCTTGCTACCAACAATCCGTTCCCGCTGGAATGTTGACAGCTTGTCAGCCATGATATCAACATTTTAAACTGTCATAAAACATTGTCATTTATGTCATTGACATAAAGTTGAAATGTATATGTGGTTATGTTTGCATAGTGCACGCGGAATGTCTTTTACATTCATGTTATATATTCATGTTTTGGACTACGTGAGAGGTAATGTTTAAATTGGTTATGTTTGCATATTGCAAGCGGTACGTCTTTTACATATGTTTACTATATTAGTGGTGTGCATGTGAATGATATCTAGCAATAACTCACCGGACTTTGGATATGTTATAACAAACATATCATCTGACCTCACTTGAAACCTTCTGATTTTGTCAACTTGCAAGTCGAGCCCAGAGTTGGCGATAGTTTTAGCATCCACCATTTTGTATTCTTCCCTTGACTACTATGCACATATCAATACAAATAATGAGTTAATATGGAATACTGAATATCTGATAAAAGTCAACTGTAAATTAAGTAAATAATTAATAATCATTCGTGTTTGCTGAATTATGATACTTTGAAAATAAAAAAACGGACAGTAATTTGTTCATTGCGGGCACTCTAATTGGGTGTAGGAAAAACACTGGTGTTATTATAACATTTGATAACATTATTGAGCTTCGCAGTAACGTTGTAACTTGTATATTATTAATTATAAGTGTAAACCTTACAGTGAACACAACACTTAAAAAGTTACAAAGCAAATTCAATCTGCGTTAGTCAAATAATAGCTAATGGTAATATCAATAATTGTGATATCAGTGAACCTCAAGTTGAACCACAATATAATTTAAAATTAAACAAAATCACTTTTGACTGTCACGTTTCAATTAAGTGGAGCTTTAATTACAAAATCAATTAAAATATAGATAGGTCGCGACTTCATATTTTCATGAATGACACTATCTCTCACCATCCACCGGGAGTCACGACCAAAACATTAATTCGCTTCTTGACCATGCCATGCACCTTTAAGATATTGTTGTACATTGGTAGCGTCCGCTGGACTAAGCCAAACCTGGAAATCACAACAACACGTAACTAGGTCAGACTGCTGACCTAATAAATATACGATAATTGTTTTATTCATTGTTGTCCGTGACAGTGACTATATTCTGCTAACCTTAGTTGGAATTGATCGATAAGCAATTAGATACTTGTGCGCATGTTTCACAGTTCCCTTTTGACTGAGCAATTTTCATTCGCCTCAGTACAGAACGGTTCTGTCGTTCAACCTCCATTTGCATGCGGTCATGGAGGGGCTTTTCAATGCTCAATTCCGTTGTTTGATAAATATGAATATGTCTGACACAAACTAAAGATGACAATCACTAGTGACTGACAACTGTCACTGCTGTTGATTTTATTATTGCAATTTTGTATGTGGTAATCTATCACTGCCATAACAGCATCTCAGATAGCACAGAGAACAAGACATCGATTGCAAAATATTGCCATGGTTCTATCAGGGGGAAAATCTTCTCCCTCTGGGTTCTCCACACGTGTCAAGGGGGAATCTCGTCTCGGCTCTATGTCACGTCCCCTTGAGGTATGGGATCAGGAAAGTCACTTATACTTTACAGTCAAATAAGACGCACACAACGAAATACGTTTCAGCTCTCGTCTTAGTCGGTCAATCGAGCACTCTAAGACACGGCGCCCTGGGGAAAAATCCCCAAGACTATCGCAAGGCTGGCCCAAGACTCTTAGACTGCGTCAACACTCGCCCCAAGGCTCTCCAGGACTGCTTTTGACTGAGTCTCTCGTGGAGTCTTCGCCAAGACCAACTCAAACTCTTTATTCATTTTCAAAACTCTAACCAATTACAATGCAGTAAAAAGACTAGGGCGTAACCTTCAATCATAAAGCCAATCACACTAAGTACTGAATACGTCATATCTTTTGATTAATCGTTCACTACATTAATAACTATGGAAATCAACTGTCAGAATCTTAGTCAGAATGGCGGCGGTTATCTGGTAATTAGTTCCAAATCACTGAGCCAAGTTCCGTCCAAAACTTCAAATAGGCCCGACAGACATAACACAGCAATTCGCTAATAATCAGCTAATTAAGTCGGTTAACAGATACGCAAAAACAAATTCATGACAGTTCTTGTGGTCATGGGGTACTTTGTATTGGTTCGGGGGATGAGAGGTCTGGTTTACATTACCTGGCCACCAAATCTAGTCGAGTGTCATTCAAGAGCTAGTGTTAATGTTACCGTAGTTACCATGGTATGACAAACCACGAACCTCTCAAGACCAATTTTCCATACAGCTCAATACGAGTGCATGAACTGCTTACAGTTAGATTTCTCTCAAAAATTGTACACGATACAATGTCTGAATTCATGGTCTTGAAATTCTCAATTCAAGGTCAACATTTCAATGGAGATATCATGAATTGGTGACACAATTTAGCTCTAATGTTTTAACAGTTTTTACTATATCGAATTTTCATTCATGAATTGAATACTCTTTTGCAAATACCTGATAACATTTCTTGGTCTTAACCTTTGTACATTTCATCTTATGCAGGACTAATTTCTGTACCTCTGTGCACTCTTTTTTTATGTACGTGTGTAAATGTACTTTGTTCTATGTATATTGTTATATGTCCATTGTGGAAATATCTACGACTAATTTGATTAGTGGATGGGTATGTCAGTGATTCTTTAACAGCAGACTCTTTTTCAATTTGGTATTGCAGTGGCGTTCTCAGTTCCTTTGACTGGAATATATTTGACAATGAAAATATGTGGTTGTAATCATAATATCAGTCTTTAAATTCATGCAAATCTTGTACAATGGGAGTAGTTCAGGCAGTGAGCTTCAGTGGTTGTTGATCAGCAGGGATTACTGCACAGCACGTCTGCATATGTACCACTGTATAGGGTACAGCTCGCTGGAGTCCGGAATCAGCATCACAAGATGTTACAGGATCAAGTCAGGCGACCTTCCTGACTAAAGATTTTCACGTCTCAACTCAAATACTCTAGCTAATTTATGGCCATGGAAATAAAATGTATCTAACGAAATGATTGGCTATCTCGAAATAACGGACCAATCAGTGTATCAAGAATGCCCATTTTGGTAATGGGATAGACCACTTTTTATCCAAGCTCTACCACTTTAAAGTAGGAGACTCCGGTCAATGATGTCATATTTATTTTCATTGTTAACAAGGCTGGTCTCAGCACATTCCAAATGCAACCGGCCTTTAACACCGGACCCAGGTACGCTATGCCAAATGATGGTCACCACACTTATCATTCACAACAACTTATTTAATAATTAATCAGTCTTATGATTTCTAATACACAAAATTATAAATTATAAAGTCAGTCACGTCTGTGCCGAGTGCACGTCACCTAGGGAGAATGTACAGACTAATTGTAACAAAACGAGGTCCACTTTGTTTGTAACCAGCAAGTTAGATAAGCCAAATCCAATCAACTCAATTTTTCACCGAATACTTCAGGTACACTCTCACCTGTGTAACGTATTGTGATGAATTTGTTTTTGCGTATCTGTTGTTTTAGTTGGTCTTGGCGAGTACACCAGGACAGAGGCAGTCGAGAGAGAGTCTAGAGAGTCTTGGCGAGTCTTGACGCAGTCTAGAGAGAGTCTTGGGACAGCCTTGCGAAAGTCTTGGGGACTTTTCCCCAGGGCGCTGTGTCTTATAGAGTGCTCGACTGACCGACTAAGACGAGAGTTGAAACGTATTTGGTTGTGTGCGTCTATTTGACTGTAAAGCTTAAGTGACTTTCCCGATCCCGTACCTCAAGGGGACGCGATAGAGAGACGAGACGAGATTCCCCCTGACACGCGTGGAGAACCCCAGAGGAGAGGAATTACCCCTGATAGTATACACGATAGTGGAACAACCAATAATGGCAATAGACTATTATATAACAATATTCAAAACAGTGGCACCTGAATTGCGGTAATATGCACAAATCATATACCCCGGTAGAAATAGATTAAGTGCTGATCATAGTGCTGATCATAGTAATGGGCAGCACATGTTCGCAGATACATTTAACTATATAAAATACAATTAACAAATCACTACAGTTCACTATAATCTCTTCATATATAGGAAATAATTGCGACAGCAAGGTAGTTATCCAGCTTGACAACACGGTTGTTTGTAGCCAACGCCAAGATCCTGGTTATACGTGTTCCGAGTTTACCAATTTCTCCTACGTGGCACGTCCCATTACGGCGCAAAAATATAGCCCGACAACTCTGCAACTGAATTTAAATTACAGTCTTAGTGCAAGCCAACTTTTTCCCACGTGTCAAATTTGGAATGACACATTGTGGAAATAGCAACATAAATATACAGTTCAATAAATATAAATTATATACATTTCACTACAAAACCGAGTAACGATATCATTAAATGTTGTCAGATAAGACATAAAGAAAGAACTAGTTTACAAAGTATGGCATAGAAATACGGTACGCGTCGTATTTGCAAGCTCCGACGTGCCGGTAGCGATAAATACTAAAATAAATGTACTAATTACAAATATATACAACCTTTAGTAAAAGTAATGGTTTACTAAATACCTGAATTTAAATTACAGTTTTAGTGCAAGCTTTAACGACCGACTGCTGGCAAGACAATTATGTGGCTCACAAAAAGCGACAGGCAACCACTCCACATGGTGACCGACCAACAAGTGAAAAAGGATTCAGAGAGCGCAATGCACCATGGGGCGAAACAACCCAACATTTGCATATAAACCTTGTTACCAAACGCTTCAGCGTGGTATTAAGAATTTGTTTTCTGGGTTGGGTGATAACAGGGTGGAAATGGTTTCACATATGGGGGTAATTCCTGGAATTGCAATAGAGAGGGTTCAGGCCAAAATACATATATAGTGTTTTCATGTTTTGTCTGATATTTCTGTGGTATTCTGCTGCTGTAACTAATGCAAGATTTGTTCTGAAATTCAGTGTATGTGTGCACTCCGGGGTTATTCGTTTTTTGCTGAAACACCCTATTTTT